AATCGTGACTCATCTGACCACAGAACAGTCTTCCATTTTGCCACACTCCATTTTAAATGACCCCTGGCCCAGTGCAAATGTCTGAGCTTGTGGAGCTTGCTTAGAAATGGCTTCCTCTTTGCACTGTAGAGATTCAGCTGGCAACGGCGGATGACACGGTGGATTGTGTTCACTGACAATGCTTTCTGGAAGTATTCCTGAGCCCATTCTGTTATTTCATAGACAGTGGCATTCCTGTTTGAGATGCAGTGACGTTTAAGGGCCTGGAGATCACGAGCATCCAGTAGTTTTACGGCCTTGACCCTTACGCACAGCGATTGTTCCAGATTCTCTGAATCTTTTGATGATATTATGCACGGTTGATGATGATAACTTAAAAGTCTTTGCTATTTTACGCTGGGTAACACCATTCTGGTATTGCTGCACTATCTTTCTGCGCAACAATGGTGGAATTGGTGATCCTCTTACCATCTTGGATTCTGAGAGACACTGACACTCCGAGAAGCTCTTTTTATACCCAATCATGTTGTCAATTGACCTAATTAGTGTTAATTGGTCTTCCAGCTGTTCGTTATATGCTCAATTTCCTTTTTCCAGCCACTTATTGCTACTTGTCCCAACTTTTTTGGGCTTTGTTGACACAGAAATTTTGAATCAACATATTTTTTTTCTTTTACAATGTTACATTTACTCCGATTAAACTTTTGATCTGTCATCTATGTTATATTACGAATAAAATATTGACATTTGCCACCTCCACATCATTGCATTCAGTTTTTATTCACAATTTGTTTAGTGTCCCAAGTTTTTTGGAATCCGGTTTGTATTTTTAGAGGCACTGTGGCACCGTTGGTAGAGCTGACGCCTCTCAGGGAGCAGGTTGTTGGTTCAAATCCCGGCTGGGGGGCCTTTCTGGATTGAGTTTACATTCTCTCTCCGTGCATGCATGGGTTTTCTCCGGGTACTCCAATTTCCTCTCACAGACCAAAAACATGCATGTTAGGCTGATTGGTAACTCTAAATTGTCCCTAGGTGAGAGCAAGAGTGAATGGTTGTTTGTCTCTATGTGATGGACTCGAGACCTGGCCATGGTGTCCCCCACCTCTTGCACAGTGATGGCTGGATTATGGGCACCAGTGACTCTTCTGACCCAAAAAGGAACAAGTGGGTAAAGAGGATGGATGGAAGGTATTTTTTGAATGAAAACTGCTCCTAAACAAAAATTACCCTTTTAAATATTTTAAACAAGTGGGGGATTTAATTTGAAGAAAGGTCATCTGAAGGTCACGTGATCCACAAGGTCAATTTACAGGTCATAGCAAAGGTCAAAATGTCAATGGGCCCTAACAGTCAAATCAATAAGGGCATTTGAAATCCTCAGCAAATTCTCTTTCCAAAGACACCAAGTCTGTGTAACTTGATCCAGTAGTTACTGAGATAACTGGGGTTGAAGATCGACCATTCTGAACATTTGAAGGGCTGTATCACTGGAACCACTGGTCTGATTGACTTAAAATTTGAGATCTTGTGCTGTGAGATCAGAATTAATAAACATGCCAAGTTTTTATAAACATCTGAGATGGTCGGCTTTAAATTTTTATCTTTGTGGGCGATTTGACATGGAATGACCTTTTAAAGAAAGAGATGTTTTATAAGGTTGAAAAATAGTGAGAAAAGAGCCCTTGTCATGTTAGCATTAGCCTAGCCTGAATGAAAACTTTAGCCTTTTCCTCCACACTCTGTGCTCTATGCCTGGTGACACGTAACATCTAATAACTATTAATTGACCAGACTATCCCTTTGTCAATAGTAAAGCTACTGGTTTTATTGTCAAATTCAGGTGTTATATTATTCCTGCTTCATCTTTCAGGTGGTGTTGATCTATTTAGAAGCACTACTCTGTTGATGTGACTGCAACTTGTGTATACAATAATATTTTAAATGGTTGTGTACATCATTTAACATCATTATGAGTCTTTATTGTATTGGAACATTCCCAAGTATTTTGGTTCTAAATTCAATGTATTGACCCCTATGAATCAGAATTAAGGAGATAAATAATCTGAACGAACAAAACTGGTAAGTTATAAAAGGATTAGCTTTTACGGTCCCTTTTTTATTTATCTCCAAGTAAGAATGTTGGTATGTGAGAGAAATGTTGTCATTAACAGTATTTGCACAGAGCAAAAAGCTACAACAAATGCTAAAAAAAAAATCATAATTTACTAGCGTGCTTGTTTGGATGTCCGCTGAGATTATAATTTTAAGGCGAATAAATGTGTTAACGTAAGTAATGAGCCAGAACTGACATGCACATTCACAAACAAAAAAGGACTGAAAAACATAAACAGTCTAATTTGAATGAATCAAAGAACCTTATAAAAGAAAAGCTAAAAGGGAATTGTATTATGTGATTGAGCTAATCAGGGAAATGTGTAGGAAGCTCATTCAATGAGTCATAAGGGTTATTAAGAAAATTAAAAATATATATTTTCTACATTACTGAAAGGAAAAAAAATCCACTCCATGCTACTGGAAACCAAAAAGAGAAACAAATGGGCCAAGTCACAAAGGGGTGAAAAGTGGAATATTAAAAATGATGCACACGATGGAGGGGGAAAAAAGTTTTAAAAAATTAAATATATCTAAAAACGCATGACTTACGATTTGCTGATGCTGAAAAAAGTGGCCTCAAAAACTACAAAAAGAAACAAACATAAAAAAGATATTAGAGAAAAATTGTTTCTCTAAAAATGGACTAAAATATTATCAATAAGCAGAGATGGACCTGCAAGCAAGAGCAAAACCCAAGCTAA